AACAAGCATTATGGAGATCCAGTTTTCCTTTTCGAGCAGCACCTGCCCACAGTACTAAACATCTAATAACATAACATGCTGACCATGTTATTACTGCTTGATTTGATAGATAACTGGCCTGACCTGGCCTAACTGGCCTCACAGGATCTATGGGGTATTGTCAGGAAGAACGGGAAAAATATACAACCCCAAAAAAGGAGCCGAATGCTGCCATCAAAGCAACCCAGGCTTTAAAAAAAAACACAGCAGTGCCACAAGCTGATTGAGCCGTGCTATGCTGCACAAATGGGGGTTACATGGTAGGATGTTTCTTAACAAGTGGTTCAAGCGGTATAACCTTATTTACAGCTATGATTTACTTATGTAGTTTAATCAGATGCCTCATGTGTAATCATCTGATGTGTCTTAGAAAGTTGGGGATGTCTACAGATAGTAATGCCATTGCCAAAGAGACTGGATGGCTATGCTACATAACTGATAGTTATGGGTATTCATTCAGTGGTGATTCTGGGCATTTTTCAAAGACAGAAGGAAGTTGAACTAACAGGCATGAAGCTGTGCTCCTCATCAGCTTGTGTAAGTAAAGAACTTTTAAACTTGAAAAATCTGTCAAGGAAGACTTATCTTTCACAGAAATTTCAACTGCATGAGCAACACAAAGGACACAAACCAGGAATTTTTAATGTAACTTTGACAGCCTTATTTATTATTTTTATTAATTTGATGTTAACCTGGATGTCATGGCAGTGCTTTTTTATTAGCAGTATTTTAATTTTAGCCAATTATTAAACTGATATTGTGTACCAGCTATCAAAGTGCAATTTTTTTTATTTTATTGCATAAATGTAAATTTAAAAAAGTATTTTTTTCAGTATTTCTCTTTCTCTCTTTTTTTTTTTTGCATTATTTGGAAGCTGCACATTAGTTATCTGATGTACTTTGTATAATGAGCTAATGTCTCACTGGACTTTTCAATTATATTATTATTGCAGAACACTTACATGGTGTTTGAATTAACATCTGTTGAAGTCATTAACATCATTAATGTTGAACAGTTAATGGTGACTGATATTCTGTTTCAATTCTGTTGCCGCTCTCATTTTTCCAGCCTGTCATAGTTTCTGTGTAGTGTATCTCACTTGCTGAAGAAGTCTTT